TTCAGCATGTTTAGTATGTGTCCATGTTGTCTTATCTTCTCTATTTTCTGTAGGTAAATGATTGAGAGATTTGGTGATAGATCTCTCACTGTCTAATTTATTTTTCAAAAGGACAAGAATTATATAGGTACTTTCAAAATCCCCTAATATTTTAAAACTTATTTCTTTTACTATATTACCCTCATATCTATCAGATCTCTTATTAAGCCATCCTCACAGTGTATTTCAAAGTAAAATTTTATTTTGAATGATAATAAACTTTACTTTGATTTAGAGTAAAATTTTACTTTGAATCAGAGTAAAATTTACTATGATTCAAGGTAAAATTTTATATCGTTAAACAAATCAACATGTTTTTAACCAAAGTAAAATTTTATTTTGAATCTTGAATCAGAGTAAAGTTTACTATGATTCAAAATAAAATTTTATATCATTAAGCAAATCAGCATGTTTTTAACCCAAGTAAAATTTTATTTTGAATAAGAGTAAATATGATTCAAAGTAAAATTTTACTCTAAAAGTACAATTTTACTATCATTATATAATTCAAATCTACAATGAATTGATAGTAAAATTTTAGTGTCACTAGGAGTCCAAAAACAAATAACAGAAGCATACAATAACAGAGTAAAAGTTTACTATCATTGTATAAAAAAATAATAAAAAACAGAACATATGACACAAAAGTAAAAGTTCACTCTTATTTTATCAAACAAAAATAGAGCACATACTAGAGTAAAATTTTACTCTCATTTTATCAAACAAAAACAGAGCACAAATCAGAGTAAAATTTTACTCTCATTTTGCCAAGTAAAAGCAGAGCACAAACCAGAGTAAAATTTTACTTTCATTCTGTCAAACAAAAACAGAACACAAACCAGAGTAAAATTTTATTCTCATTTTGCCAAGCAAAAATAGAGCACAAACCAGAGTAAAATTTTACTGTCATTCTGTCAAACAAAAACAGAGCACAAACCAGAGTAAAATTTTACTCTCATTCTGTCAAACAAAACTTGGAACACACACCTGATTGAACTCTGCAAATCAACAAAAATAAATCAAAAACAAAAACAAAAAAACTAATCAACATATGTCGAAGATCAAATAGTTATTGCGTTTTCTATCATTATTGTGTCATCTCTCTCTCTCTCTCTCTCTCTCTCTCTCTCTCTCTTACACACACACACACACACAACTCTCTTCCACAAATCTTCACCATATCCGCATATCATCTCTCATACCTCCACCATCTCCATCGTCAATGGTGTTGCTCATCGTCATAATCATCCGAAGAGAAAGTTACGAGTGATGATTTTTTCAAATCTTGAGACAGAGAACTTATTCCTTAGGTGCAAACAACGAAGCCATTGATTGAGGATGAACTTTTACTATTTTGATCCAGATCTCCTTTGAAACCCTAGCCATGGCGTCATCGTCTATGTAAAAGCAATAGTTGTATCAGACGAAGCTCGAGAGATTGAGATGGTGATTATGAAAGATTTAGTTGAGGGTATAATAGTCTGATAAAATATTTAAATAATAAATTTTGTCCTTCATACAAGATTTTATAATTATGAGGGGGTTTTAAAAGTATAATTCTTTTTTTAGTCTTTTTAACAATAAAAGGAAGATAAGAGGAGTTTATAGCCAAGTTTTCCATAAATGAATACCCAAAATATGGGGAAGGCTGTCACGTGGAAAGAATACTCAGTAGACTCTCCCTCCAAATGTGTCTCTCCTTATCAATTAAGGCCATGTTTGTTTGGGCGGACTGAATTAGCATTCCCATGACTAATAGTCCTAGGACTACGAATCCGTTGGATTATGTATCCTATCTTAACTAATAGTCAAGTTTAAAATAATTAGTCCGTACTTCAATTGTTTAACCAAATATCGGATTAATAATTTTATTGGACTATTAGTCCAATCCCAAGTTCATATCCACCCAAACAAACATGACCTAAGTGTGACAAGGATAAAGACCGAAAAAACCTACTGAGATTTTGTCCACTAAGGGGATTTCAAATTGAAGGGATCCATTGATCTTCAGTCGGGTTTATATTGGTGCCATCCCCAACCACCCATTTGAGGCCCTTGATAAGGAGATCCCAACCCCATAAAATGCTTCTCCAACCCCAAGTGGAATATGGCATCAGCCGAACAGACAAGAAGGAATTCTTTTGACAATATTTCCCCACCAAGACTGGCCTACAAAGAGTTAGGAAACTTCAGAATACGCCAAGCCACTTTTGCTAATAAAGCTTGATTGAAGCACTGAGGACCCCTAATCCCGAGACCGCCCAAAGATTTGGAAAAACACAAGTGATCCCATCTTTTCCGTGAAATACTTTTTTCCTTGTGAGAGTGCCACAGACCTTGCATTTTCTTGATGACGTTGCCAGGGATTTTAAAGACCGAAAAAGTGTAGATGAGAATAGCTTGAAGAGCATGCTTGACAAGAACACACCTCCCAGCAAAATATAAAAATTGGAATTTCCAACTTTGAAGTTTGTGTTGAATTCGTGCCAGGATATGTCCACACCATTTTGATTTTTTCTGAAAAGAGAAATCCATCATGGCTCTTAAATAAATGCCAAACTGATTGACTACTTTAACTGTAAAGACAGTTAAAAACAGATCTAGCCTTAATGGACATGTTTGGCCTTAAGTATGCCTCTGATTCTCGTAAATTAATTCTAAGGCCAGATTGAGAACAAAAAGCATTGAGAAACCATTGTAGGCACCATATCTCCTCCGAGAATTCATAAAAATAAAAATATCATCTGCAAACAAAAGGTGAGACATTGGCTATGTTGCATGGACTCGGGCATGAGTGTCGGGTGCGGGTATGTATCTATATGTAACTTACCATGTCAAAATGATATTTATAGCAATTATACAATAATATGTACATATAATAATAGTGTTATATACAATTTTATAAGAAATATATGTTGAAAAGTGTCCGACACGTATCCCATACCCTTGTCCGAGTGTTGGGTGTCCGACGCGAGTATTTGATTTATTTTGAAGAGTCTGTGTAACATTAGACACTGGAGGGGAGCGACGACTAATAGCTATCCCATGGCAAATTCCTTCATTGTGCATATGAAGAAAACCATCCAAATGAATTTGCATAATCAGAATAAATAGACAGGGAGAAAGCGGCTCACCCTGACAGAGGCCCCTTTGAGGTTTAAAGAAACGCGTGGGAATGCCATTAACAAGCACAGAGAACGACACAGATATAACACATTGCATCAAAAGGTGAATCCAATGATCCGGAAACCCCAATTTGTGCAAGCAAGCCTCTACGAAAGGCCAACTAACATGGTCATAGGCTTTGTTAGTTCAAGGCCACAGAAAGATTGCTGCCCTTTAAGTACGATGTCAAATAAATTGAATCAGTTCATGGGCCAAGGGAACATTATCTGATATCAATCGCCCCATCAAAAAAGCATTTTGATTTTCAGAAATTAAACTAGGTAGTACCATCTGCAATCTATTGGCCAAAGCTTTGGCCCCAATTTTATAAATTACATTGCACAAACTGATAGGGCGATAATCATTCACTGTGATAGGGTTCCGAATTTTAGGAATTAAACAAATGAAGGTTTGATTGAACTCTTTCAGTAAAAAACCAGTGTAAAACTTTTAGGACAGCAGCTGATACAGACACACAACAATTTTCCAACATTTTTGATAAAAGCCAGCAATAAACCCATCAGGACCCCGTGATTTTAATTTCCCCATTTGAAAAACAGCCATTTTAATTTTATCCTCATTAAAAGGTGCTGAAAGAATACCAATATCTTCCAACTTAAATGAGTTTGAAGGACCGAAAGTAAATCAAAATGAGAAGGGAAATCACCTGATGGATTGTTGGTGCCTCTGGGGTGTTGCATATGTTCAGATGCCCAAAACAGATTCTGAAAATGGGCTATGAAAGTGTGTTAAATCGTCATCGGATTAGTCACCAAAGTACCATCCTCCAATTGCAAAGATTGAATGCTGTTACACTGTCTCCATGAAGCGATTCGATGGAAAAAAAAAAAAAAAAGTGTGTTTCGATCCCTACAGCCATCCATCTTTGCATAGACCTTTGCTCCCAATAAACCTCTTGTTTCTGCAAAAGGCCATCTAATTTTTTCCTAAAAGACCAATCTTGTTCAGCCACTGAATTGGTTTTGAGCTGTGCTTGTACCTTTGATAACTCTGCTCTAGTCTCAACAATCTGACCCTGCAAACTGCGATTAGATAAACTGCTCCAGTTTCTCAAATGCTTCATCACTCGATTGAGTTGCTGTTTGGCCACAAATTGGTTAGATCCGACAGTGGGAACTGCCCATGCATTTTGAATAATGGCATAAGAACAGTCATCCATTAACCAAGCTGCTTCAAAACAGTTGACCCCGCCTGCCTTCCATGATTTGGGAACAAGTATCTAACAGAATAGGACTATGATCAGATCTTTGGATGGGCACAAAAGCAAAGCATTTGGAAACTCAGTAAACCAGTCATTTGAAACTAAGGCCCTATCCAGCCTTTCATAAATTACTTGTTGATCTGCACGGTTGTTACGCCAGGTGAAACAAACCCCTTTGTTAGGCAAATCCACAAGATGATGACTTGATATGAAGTTCAGAGGTAAATGACTTGAGCCCCCTAGCTTGTCTTCCATCCCACAAATCTGATTGAAATCCCCCCCTATGATAACAATTGGATAAGTGATGTTGCGAAATATTAAATCTAAATTACGCCAGGCCGGAACTGTCAGGGTCATGGTCATGTCCTTCACTAATTAATCACATATATGTTTGAACTATACTTCAAGCAACCTCAATCTCCAGAGCTCTTGCATTGAGCATTACGTGCTTCAAGCATGTCACGAACTCGTTGAGAGTAGGTTCATAGGCAAAATAGCAATCCAGGGCAGTCAGATAATCCATAACAGAAATTCTGTTAACATCAACCCCACAAATGTTAAGGCCAGATCTTTCACTGCCATAGATTGTTGATAGCGTTAGCGGTGTTGTCTCTATGTAATGCAATCCACTGATTCCGTGTCTCCTTCCATGCCAAAGGAGTCCCACATTGATATCGTAGCCTGGCACCATTGCTGTGGCACCATTGCCTCAGCAAACACTTCTATGTTGTCTGTCATGCATGAGCATCTCATTTTCACCATGCGCTTATACAGTTCTTCTGACATGAATATAGATATGTATTTCATTTTGGTATGGTGTCCCGGAACACTAGATAATTTTAGCTTCTACAGAGCATCAAAGATATATATAGATATATAACGAATTCTAAACATATCTAGAAGAGACCGCATCACCATTCAACCCCCTAGAGTCAAAATAGAACAAACTTGTCGGGAGATTTTATCCTAAATCAAATAACAGTTACAAAGTCCTATTAAAATTCCTTTAACTCGGGTCTAATCCCAATTGTCAAGATATTTGCGAGTCCTACTATACAACCAATACGACTATACCACTTTTATATTTGGATAAATTACAAATACAATCCTAGGTTTGCTTAAAATAAGAGTTGTCCTTATAGTTTTAAAAATTACATCATACCCCTTAAAAATTCTAATTTCATAACAAATTTTATTAATAAATCATCAAGTCAATCGACAGTTTTTAAAAGAGAGAATTGTTGAAAAGTCCAATTTAAATAGGACATAAGACATTAGGTTTAGTAGATATTTTTTTTGTTTGTGAGAAGTCCACCATTTGTGAAATAGTTTGAGAAGAAGTCTTTTTATTAGTTTTGGAGGACATTTTATTTCTAATTTTATCTCTTAATTTATCTGTTGACTTTTTTTTGACTATCTATTCAAATTTATATCTATCTATTCAAATTTTTTGACTATCTGTTCAATTTTTTTATCTGTACAAATGTTCTAGCCAAATTTTATCTGTACAAAATTTTCATATTTTGATACAACAATGTGCTTATTTTTTAGACAAATAGAGAGATCTGTGCTTTTCATAATACTTTGAATAGGAATTCTAGATATGTAATCCTTTTTTTATAAATAAATATACTCGAACAATATCTCAAGTTCACAAAAGTGACAAACCAGAGAAATTGATGCATGAACATGACCAACCCACCCTTCTTAAACATGACAGTAAACAAATGGAACGGTGCATCTATGAACTATCATCATCAACCTAAAACCACTATCATCCTTCTCTAAGAAAGTATATGAAATAGACTACATAGAAAAGTAACACATATCAATGAACAAACAGATCAAGAACCGAATCAATATATATAGATATTGATTCAGAGCGAGATTTAAATAGATATTAATGAACAAACAGATCAAAAACCAAGATCTGATTCAACTATCAAACACAAAACACAACATATATATATAGAGAGAGAGAAAGACAGAGACAGAGACGGAGATGACGGAGGGGGTAGATTTGAGGGAAGGGGGTGGCGTAAAACCCTAACCCTAGGTAGATGGGCGCGCACACACAGAGAGCTCGGCAATTGCAACAATGGCGATGACCACCACTCCTCTATATTTCGCCTCTCCAATTCCAAAACAAAACAACTTTGCAAAGCTACACACCTTTTCTTTACTTTCTTCTCGCACATCCAACTCTAAACGCTCGCATTTCCTCTCTTCTCTTCCTCTCTCGCCGAGTCGTGGCTACAACCGTTAGTACAGTCGCGGAAGGTAAGCGGCAAACGGCCATGGCTTCGATCTCCACAGATTGGAACCTGGATACCCTCTTAGTCATATCTTCTCGAATTCGGCGGAGGCCGAGGCGGCGGTGGCAACGATGACCTCTCCGATCTGATCCAGAGAGAAGATGGAGAGAGAGAGAGGGGGGGTTTGATTTGGGGAAACAAACCGACGCAACATATATTTTGATGGGTATTTTAGTCATTTTGCCTAAACATATCCTTATGGACAAAATATTCCTGTTTGATTGGGGATATGAAGATTCGGATTGGATATTATATCCGGTGGGGTCCATATATCTCATGTTTGTAATTTTTTTTGAAGGGGATATAATATCCGGTGGGATTGTATATCCCCAAAAGTGGAGGATATACAATACCACCCCCCATTATATCATATCCCCTTGGTTGGGATATGATGTAAAAAGTCCAATTTACCCTTTTGTCTTTCTAACATAATATAATTTAATATATATTTTTGAATTTAATATAGGGGAAAGCACCAATAAATCCCAAATTTGAAAATGTTAATCTACTTAGTCCCGAATGTTTTTTGTTGGACTAATAGGTCCCATTTCTCTAAAAGCTTACTATAGGCCTTTTTATGTCAAACATTATTCATCAAACATCAAACATTAGTAACGTCAGAAGTATTTATCAAACATCAAACATTACCAATGACAGAATTATTCGTATAATTTCGGTGAAAACGTTATCAACGTTAGAATTATTCATCCAACATCAAACATTATAATCAAACATCAAACACAACTATTAAACATTAAGATTATTCATCAAGCATCAAACATTATTCATCAAACATTAAAACATCAAATTTATTTTTAAAAAAATTGAAATTGAACATCACAACATTATCATCAAAATAACATCAAAAATAATGATTAAACAATTTTTTTTAATAACGATTAAACATCAAAATAACGATTAAAATAACCCTAATGTTTAACGGTGTTCATCCGATGTTTGTGGGTGTTCATCCGATTATCATCAACATCAGACATTATAATCATCAAACAAACATCAGATTATATACCTTTTTTATGATGTTTCAAACACCTACAAACACAGATGCTAAAACATCGAACACCAAAACAAAAAATTTGATTGTCAGATTATCACCGATGATCATCAAAAATAGAACATTTGATGTTCTGCTGTTTATCAAGTGGGTTAGGACCAAACATGCTGAACAAAAAATCTGATGTTCAACTAAATGTAAAGACATTAGTAAATGGGTTAACACCCACCACCATCATCAAATAATCATCAAACATTTTTGATGATGTTAGGACCTATTGGGTGTTCTTGATTTGATGATGTTTTGATAATCTGATCATCGTGAAACACCCACAAACATCATCAAAATATCAGCATTAACATCATCAAACAAACACTAAAAATCATCCGTCAAACTAAACAATTTTTTCTGATCAAACATCATGATCATAACAATTTTTTTTTCGATCTAACATCATCGTAACAATTTTTTTGTTCAAACATCATCATAACATCCGGTTCAAAAAAAAAAAAAACATCATCATAACATCAAAAACATCTCAAATCGAAACCCGGCTCTGAATCGGAACACATCTCAGATCGAAACCCAGATCTGATTCGAAACACATCTCAAAAACCCACATCTCAGATCGGCTCTGTGAGAAATAGAGAGAGGGAGATGGGTTCGGAACCCAGATCTGATTCATGGAGTAGGGATGAGGCCTCGTACTCCACCGCCTTCATAATCGAGAAGGCTGAGGGCGGCGGAGGAGAGAGGAGTTTGTCGGAGGTGTTGAGAATGTGTTGCCGGAGGATGGATTCGAAGGGATTGGTGAGGTTTCTGTTGGCGAAGAGGAAAGAGTCGGTGGCGCTAAGGGCGGAGATCGCGGCGGCGGCGGAGGAATCGATGGACGTGATGAGGCTGGTGCTGGATACGGTGGAGGAGTTTGTGGAGATGAAGGTGGAGGGGAAGGTTGGGATGGTGGACAAGAGGTAGGCTTGAAGCAGATTAAACATCATTGAATAATATCTATGTGTAACACCATTAAAATCGAACCTGGGTTTCTCTGGATACGGTTGATTTTTTATGATGTTTTTTAGTGACGTTGGTGATATAGTTGATGTTTGTTGATGGTGATGATGTAGTTGATGTTGTTGATGTTCGGAAGGGAGAGAAATCATAAACAGGACTAAATGGTTTAATAAAAAACATTCAGGACTAACCAGAGCAACATTTATCAAAATGGGATTTATGAGTAATTTCTCCTTAAAATAATATGAATTTCTTATTTTGTCCTTTTTTTAAATCCATTAATAATACAAACAGAACAATTATGACAATTGATATTTCTAAAAAAATATGCTATCAAAAGGTAATTTTAAAAAATTAATATTTTTAAAATGTAATAATTGTATTATAAAAAGAAATTAAATTCTGAAAATAGACTATTATTTTTAATAATTGTAATAATTGGGCCCTCACGCGAAAGGTATGCTAAAATGGGCAACTTGTTATTGGCTGTTTGTCGATAGTTTTACATTGCAAAAATTTAAAGGCATAGTTACAGGTCAGTCTGATGAATTTAATTTATCGAGCTCCTTCTCGATTTATCAATCCACTATAAGAAAATACACTTTTAGCAGCCACGTTGTCTATCTCTCTCTCTCGCTCATCACTCTATCTCTGTCTCTCTCTCTCTATCTCTCTTCTTTATCTGACTTTTATCATCACATCACCACCACCACAACTACTATAATATAATATTATGAGGGCAATCTTGAAAATTACTTGTTATATCCCACAATATATTTTGTAAAACAAACATGCATAACATATATCCAATCTTATATATCAAATCAACAAACATGACTTGGGGAATATACTATCCAATACATATATCCTATTCATTATATATCCTGACTAAATCCCACATCATATTATATCCTCCATTTTATATCCAGTGAAACAAACGGGGCCAGGGCATGAACTTTTGGCCAAACAAAATTTAAATTTAGATATATTGACCGCTTGCCCTTTTTAAAATTACATCCTACCCCTTGAAATTCTAGTTTCATTACAAATGACTCATTTTATTAATAAATTATCAAGTTAATTAATAATTTTTAATAATGTCAAAATTTTATTTCAATTAACAATTTAAATAATTTTATCATTGTATAGAAGAGTAGTTAGAGAAAAATGATCAAAAATAAAGAAAAAAATAAACCAAAGAATTGTAGGACAAGAATAAATATGAGAACAAAACATTATAAAAACATTTAGCAAACAACCACATTAAAAAATCATAACTCGTAAGAATGCCAAAATTAAGGAAATAGAAAATTAAGAGTTAAGATCATAAATCCAATTGCCAAGAAATCCAAGAAGGAACTTTGTCCAAATCGAGATTGCGAGAAAGAAGTCCGTTTTATTAACGTTAAGCATTGAGACCTAAATACAATATATTTTGTTCCAAGGATGCAACGCCCTGAAAAAAAAAAAAAAAGGCAGGATATATTTATTTATACAATAAACCCACCTGATAGACAAACACATATATAGAGCTAACTATTCCATACATCCATTTCCATTTAATCCTAAATGCCAAATACATACCGTTCACATCTCAATGACCCAGTTCCAATCCCAAGCATGCATTTTACAACAAGTATGAAATGAAAGCCAAACAAATAATAAGTGCTCTACAGGCTTACAAATTTATCTAAGAACATTCTTGGTTATACAAAATGGAGTTTCAACTCAACACAAATATAGCTATGGGCTTACATTAATAAATAACCATAAAACAAAAATGGAGCCTCAGCTCCGAGTCCTCCTGTAGACGTCCCCGAACATCCCGGGAGGGAAATCCCATTTTGTTCATTAGGCTTACTACAGTTCGGACTCAAAAGTCACGGTCCTGTATCTAATCTCGCAGAGTGCAATGCAAGACCGATGAATCATCAAAGAGTCCAAATCCGGCGAATCGTTTTGAAAAATTGATTTTTAGAAAGAAGTGTCAAACATGGACTGCTTTGCCAGATACAAAGTCGCTCAGCTCCGAGTCCTCCTATAGACGTCCCCGAACATCCCGGGAGGGAAATCCCATTTTGTTCATTGGGCTTACTACAGTTCGGACTCAAAAGTCACGGTCCTGTATCTAATCTCGCAGAGTGCAATACAAGACCGATGAATCATCAAAGAGTCCAAATCCGGCGAATCGTTTTGAAAAATTGATTTTTAGAAAGAAGTGTCAAACATGGACTGCTTTGCCAGATACAAAGTCGCCACCTAAATATTTTTTTTTTGGGGAATTTAAGAAACCCTGACTCGTGCCTAAAGCCACGTGTCCGTTATCACCAAAGTTGCCTCAGCTCGGGAACTTAGGTACGATTGGAGAAGGTCACTTCGTGAGCATCCCCGCTCGCCCGATCAAAGATCGACCTCTACTAACCATGATATCGAGTTTTGAAAACATTATGTGCTCTTATTCCGGTTATTAGCCTAGATTTACTACGTGATGCGCACAGCATACAAGTATAGACTGGATCGCCTGAATTGGAACAACACATCTCATGTTTGTTTATTTTGAAAATGGTTTGATGGTGCTACTCGCAAGTAGGCTAAGACGTGGATTTGCCACCCTCGAGTGGGCTTAGAAAACGTGATGGTTTGCCACTCTCAAGTGGGCTTAAAACTCGGAATAAGATGACTCCAAACAGAAAAGTGACCTCAATCAAACTTAAAGAGGAGGTCAAAACAAGACTTTCTTCAGTTTAGGCCGAGGTCCAAAAATGCTCACAAATAAGGCTAAAATGCAACTAAGATAGGCTTGACTATTCTAAAGATGGCATGTGAAATGCTACAACTAACAAGTATTCAACTTGGAATTGAAATACAATGCAGTTAGTATGATGCACTGAGCCCGGTGCAGGCAAGACAGATGAATGAATGCAAATAAGCTATCATAAGTATGCTAATTGAAACATGCCCTAAACTAACCATCATGAGCTGGTAAATAAAAGGGAGAAAGACGTGGGGTTGGAAAACATACATCACACACACGCACACTTATTACAACAATTGGCCCTCTCTCGATGGGTCTGAAAGAATATTACACAACCAAAATAAATAACAAATTATTACACAATACTAATTACTTAACAAATGAATTAGGTAAGCAAAGTAAACTAGCATGCTATGCTACGTGCAACGGCCTGCCTTAGCTCTGTTTCGAATGATGAAGGATGCATGCATACTCGGGTCGCCTTGTCGGGAAATTCCATCGCGACGCCTCGCCTCGCCTCGCCTTTGTTTGCAATTGATCTCAGAAACTTGCACAAAGCTCCAGAAAGCTAAAACTCCACCTTGGAAAGGCCACCGACCAGTTATTAGCATGGGAGACCACCTTTCGACCACCCTTTGTGGTGGAGACCAAAGAGGGTGGTCGACCTGCCAGAAAATCTGGTCAGCCGACCAGTTTCCACCTCTGGTTTCTGATTTTTCTACAACAAAGGCAAAAGAGAGAAAAGGCAATATATTTTCAACAAATGTGTGCATGACCACTCTCCTCGTCCTTGCACAAGCTCAAGGGAGTGTAGTCCTCGATCCTCATGCCACCAATCATGCATCTCGATGCATAATGGCCGAGAAGTCGAATTGCACGACTCAATATGAAATGAATGCACATATAAGCAAGTAAAGCCAACAACTCTATCATGGACAGTCAAGAGTGTCGACGACTGAGAATCGAGGCACGTTTCGTCACTTGGAGTACGAAACGTCCCTCGTTTCCCGTGTTCAGACTAAACCCTACTCGAAACACAAAGCAATGAGATGGCATACACAATGCGACTAACATACAACCTAGCATACACA